CTCGGTTACCAATTGCCCAAAAATACTACAAACAGTTATATACTGAAAGCTTGTATTTGGATGATATTACACTTTTACCCTTTATGAATGAGAAACATGTTCGATTAAACAAGTTCTAAGTTCTGTTATTTTGCATTCGATAGTGTGGGTCGTCATCGGGCGAACCGAAGATCATGCTATCAGTTTCTCGCGAAACAAGAATAAGTGGTTCACAACCCAGATGGACATGAACACCCCATCGCGAATGGTTGTAGTGTCAACTGTACAGTTTGTCTTGACTGATTAGTTGCACTAGTACATTTATGTATTGAACAGGATCCCAGAGAGGAGCAGTTCGTTTTATACTGATCGTTGTAAACGAACTAGGCCTCAGTTAGTTACTGCGTACTCTTAACCCGTAAGATATTAAACAGACATATATGTGTAGTATTTATTACTTTGATTCACATGGGTGAGGCTTAGTGAACTGGGCCAATAGACCCGCTGTCTTGGGTAATATTGCTACATGTAGGATGTGCTGTTAGGATATTTACGGTCACCATGTGCGTTAGTTTGATGATGTCCCCGGAGTGAGTTCATGAAGGATTATTATGCTAAACCCTACAGGTGGATTAAATTCCGGCATAGTAATAATGTGATGAACGAGCGCTAGCTTCGTTGAAATAATAATAAATTAATTAATTCTTGATTGTCAGTAATCGAATTAATTAATGGACATTATATCTTAATCATGGGGAGATAAATCGAGTAATTATTATTGGAGTCTCAATTGTAAATTGGGCTAGGAAAATGGAGTGCAATAATATTATGTTGGTGGTCCATTTAATATTATTTAATTAATTAAAATAAGTGGCTTAGTCCACAAGTATTTTAATTAATTAAAGAGCCTAATCCTAATCTCCTAAGGATCCCTACTGTAGCTCTATATATACATCATTAAGTTCATGGGAAGAGAGGAGAATTCCACATCTTGTGAAACATGCCCCACGCCTCTCTTCTCTCTCTCAGTTCCCATTCGAGCTTTATCTTCTTCTTGTTGTTCCACTGGTACAAGATTAAGAGGTGTTTGAGATATACAGTAGAAGACCTTTGGGTAAAGTGAGACGAAATATATTTGGTCGTATAGAACTAACCGGAGGTCCGATCAAGACGTGCAGCATACCCAGACGACCATCTCGACGAGAGCTTTCCAACGCCGTTGAGATCGCAGCCGTCTGACCACGCACGCGCCCGCATGCGCCGCCGCAAGGTTCCAGGACTGCGACTTGTCTTCATCCGTTTTGCACTCGTTTGATTCAGTTTTTGATCCGATCTTGTTCGTGCAATCCTAGAACGCGGTTTGCAGTCAACAATTCATTGGTGTGATGTATAAGACCATCTAGAAGATCATCCAGATCACCATAAATTTTAAGCCGTAAGTTCTCTACGCAAACCTTTAGATCCGCTGTGCATAGGTTTACGTTTTGCTATTGAATTCGTGATTTGTGCATAACGAGATCTTCATTGATCCCAACATGGCTGTTGTCAATCCTTTAGGTACTAGAGGAGGTCTTCTGTTATGTTGGTCTGTCAATATAGTGGTTGAGAAATTGGTGTCCACTGATTTCTGTTTTGAGGTGTTATTTAAGTTCAACAATAGTGATGTTTCTCAGTGGGGAATTTTTGTGTATGCTAGCAGTATTCCTGCTATTAGAGTGGCTCAATGGGATTATTTATTGAGATATAGTCTGGGATGGGGAAAACACTGGTTTTTGGGAGGGGATTTCAATGACATCCTTGCTAATTCTGAGAAAAGAGGAGAATGTAGGAGGGAGGAGAATAGCTTTAATGAATTTAAGAACTTGGTTAGGGGTTTGGGGGTAGTGGAGAGCAAGGTGGAAGGGCACCCTTTCACTTGGTCTAACCATAGGCAAGGTCTGAATTCATTGAGGAAAAGTTAGATATGTTCTTTTTCTCCACTGAGTGGATTAGATTATACCCTAATGCTCTGGTGAATCACTTACCCCTCTTCTCGTCTGATCACTGTTCATCCTCAATGTGGACAGCTCTGTAACTAAGTCCCCTAGGAGATTTTTTTGATAATAGATGGATTAAGTATGAAGGGTTTCAGGATGTGATCTCCAATGCTTGGAACACTCCTGTGGGGGGAGTTA